TATTTTCATCCATTGACTGTTTTACATATTTGACCATAGATGCAGAACATACCACTTTAATTATTATTGTTGTAAATATGTATAATTAACCCTACCTTTTCTATTAAAAATCATGAATATAGAATTCATTTTATAAATTTTATATTACTGTGATAAAAATAATTATCTTTACTTTTTACGACTGCACCTCTTTTCAACAACAAAACACAAAAAAATAATTCTAACACAATATGCATATATGCCATCCATACTTTATGCGAATACGCATATGCATATAAGCCATCCTTAATATATGCAAATACGTATGCACGACCTAATGCAAATTATCACCTTATGTAAATAAGTCATATGTTTATAAACCAAACTCTATAGAGTTTTGGCTTGTGCCAGTATAATCATATTCGATAACGGTCGCCTATTTCATCAAAATAGACCTTAGAACTAATCACCATTTATCGACCATCTTTACAAACTAGAGGATTCGTTTAGGTGAAAATGTCACAACACCAGCATTGGAAATCTCAAAACGCCTATTATTTATAATAAAGAAATTCATCTCAAGAAACCTGTAGCATTTTTGCTTGATAAATATCCATATTTAAATAAATTGATATTGATATTTTAAGCATAAACCACTTCCTTTTTGCCTATATAACGGTGGTTTCCCATACATGTAAATTTGAACGTTCTCCCTAAAGAGGATGAGAGGGTAACACGCTCGATTCCCGATATAAGTCAGTGGATGAGAGGGTAACACGCTCGATTCCCGATATAAGTCGGTGGATAAGAGGGTAACACTTTCGATTCCCGATATAAGTCGGTGGATGAGAGGGTAACACGCTTGATTCCCGATATAAGTCGGTGGATGAGAGGGTAACACGCTCGATTCCCGATATAAGTCGGTGGATGAGAGGGTAACACGCTCGATTCCCGATATAAGTCGGTGGATGAGAGGGTAACACGCTCGATTCCCGATATAAGTCGGTGGATGAGAGGGTAACACGCTCGATTCCCGATATAAGTCGGTGGATGAGAGGGTAACACGCTCGATTCCCGATATAAATCGGTGGATGAGAGGGTAACACGCTCGATTCCCGATATAAGTCGGTGGATGAGAGGGTAACACGCTCGATTCCCGATATAAGTCGGTGGATGAGAGGGTAACACGCTCGATTCCCGATATAAGTCAGTGGATGAGAGGGTAACACGCTCGATTCCCGATATAAGTCGGTGGGTGAGAGGGTAACACGCTCGATTCCCGATATAAGTCGGTGGATGAGAGGGTAACACGCTCGATTCCCGACAGTCATGAACCGGGATTGGATCCCGCGTTAAAATTTTTCTAATATGTGAATAACCTTCACATATATTATTCACTGTTTCAATTATCATGAACTAGGTTGCTCTTGCTGAGCGGTACCTATTAATGTGATTTTGAACCAGGTTCTCCCTAGAGAGGATATTTGAATAATTTACATATAATCAAATGATTAGGATTAAACACGTGTCTCCTTCGAAAAGAAGGTTTACTCTACTAGCATTAGAGAACACTTATAGTGAAGTATTCTAGTTCTACTTGGCACCTTCCCAAGGATAAAAACAATCAATGGCTACAAGACACCATCTGGATGACACATCACGAGAAAGAGAGATCGGGAGGATGGAAATGGGGCAACCACAGTGGAAAGTCGCTAAGTGATTCAATGTGTCTGAAAACATAATATTCTGTCTTTGGAGACAATTCCAAACTACAGGGAATTGTCGCCGAAGAAAATGAATGTATATCATTGTAAGTTTTGAAACTATGCAATTCCCATTTCCATTATTTTGAAAATAATATTCATTTTGGGTCAAATATCCTTTACATTTTAATTAAAAACTCATATATATTGGATAAAAATATCATTTATTCTACCAATATTTCAGTTGGCTGAAGGCCAAGCTTTTTCAAAATTATACAACGTATATTGTAAATTTATAAAAATGTTATAATATTTTCATAAAAGTTGGCGTTCAACCAACTGAAATATTGGTAAAATAAATTATATTTTGATCCAATATATGCTTTTAAAATTGAATATCTATTTATGGATTGCTCTATTTTAAAAACGGTATATTTTTTGTTCAATTATTTTGTATATTTGTATATCCGTCAAACTTTATCGGGGAACACGACTGTTTTAACATTTGTATAATCATATGAAGCGATAAGTGAGCTTCTCAAAAATTCATGTTCCCCGATAAAGTTTGAAGGATATACATGCGAAATATTGAAAAAATATATATATATTTAGTTAAAATGATGCAACAGGATTCTGTAGATGAATTTTATTATTGTATTCTGAAGTTTACGAGTATTTCCGCTTTCTGCAGGAGTAAAACGCGAATAATAATAAATAACGGTTGAATCTAACAAAAGGATGAAATGGCCTTAGCTTGAGAATATACTAATGAAATACTAAAATGAAAATAAACTCATCTCTAGAAACCTATTGCATTATTTCAATTTATAGGAGATTACTCAGGAGATTCACATCTATCGTAAATATATATGATTTGAAATGAGCATTTTAAAATCATATTATTATGTATAGTTTAGGATCTTTGTAGAAGATAGCTAAAAGCTTTACAATTTGAGACTGTTGGTATAATATAAAGAATTATTCCTCAGTTTTATAGCCATGTGTAGCCAATATATAAGTTTATAACAGAGATGCATTCGTGAAAAATTAGTATAAAGGTGAAATTTTACTAAGATCAGGTTAATAAATTAATAAAAAAGAAAAATCATCTCCTGAACGTTCAACTAAAAGTTTTTGATGGCTTGCGCCTTCTGTCGGAATAAATATCAGCTATTCGTTAAGTTTCAATTGTTACAGAATTGACCAAATACCCATACTTGATTAATCAAGAGGTTAGCTTTTCTTTATAATAAAGATTGGGTATATGGCTATTTCTGGAATAATTGAGAATCAACGATTGATATTTATTCCGACAAATGGCGCAATCCATCAGCAACTTTTAATTGCACGATCAGATGTTTTTTCTCTTTTACTTAATTTATTCACCTGATCTCCTGAGATAAGAAAGAAGAAGACCTTATATCAGTACAATTTCACTTTTATACAGTTTTTCATAAATATAAATCTGTTATAAATTCATCTATTGGCTACAAATAGCCATCTTCTTCTTTTTTATCTCGACTCAATCATATTAGGGTATCAATTTGAGACCCTTGATCGTGTCTGTTTGACAACCACCATGACTGGATGAAGTAGAATGCGTCTGCCTTTGTCATCAAGACTGGGAGCACTACTCAGTGGCAGGCCGACTTAGCTCCAAAAGAAATGGTTGCCTCTGACACGAGGAACAGACGCCATGTGCAGATGCTCCTAACATGGAGTACAAATGCTGCTCATCCTGTATCCTTGGATCAGGAGCCCATACAGGGTACTATCAGCCGGGCCAACTTAGCCCAGGTTTTTTAGTGAGCTTGTTACTGCTCCTCCTCCTCCTTTTTCATCCGGGCTTGGGACCGGCATAGGCGGGGAGTTTATAAATAGCTATAAAACTGAGTAATATCTCATTATATTTTACCAATAGTCTTTAGCTGTAAATATTTGAGCTATCTCCTTTAAATATCTTAAACTATACGCAAGAGGCAGCTTGAGATGCTCTTTATTTTTCTTGAGAGCTATATTTGTTGTTGTTTGACAGCATGGTGACGTGTGACGCAGCAACAGAGTGGTTTCCGTCCGACCAGTGAGGATGACTCAAGGCGAGTAGAAAGTCACCACGGCGCGCCTCCTCCCAGCTACCCGCTCTATACTGCAGGTGGGTCCCCCTCTCTTAAACTATCTCTACTAGTTGGACAACATTGCTAACTTCGATGAAAATTATAATAATATATTTATAACGCTATTTTTATATGTTAAATACAAATTATTCAATTTTGAAATTATAATTTCTATAATAAAAAACTATGTTAAGACGACCACCTGATGTCGCCGCTTTCCCTATATAAACCTATTGTTGTTGTTTCCCGTTGGCTGGCTCAAATCTTTCTGTAGATATGTAAATACGTATTTTTCTTTACGCCTTAAATCAGGTATTTCCTTCTTAGTTATGTCTATCAGCACAGTTAAAGAAAATTGTGATTAACACTGTTTTGCTATTTTTACCATGACTGCAATATCATAAAATATTTATATACTGCATACTATTACCAAAATGCTTATGTATATTCAAAATAATATGCATCAGCAAGTAATAATTCTATATCTCAAAATATTCTAAAATGAATAGAAATTTATTTATAATATATACACAATATAAGTATACATATCTTTTTGAAAATAGAGCATTCCATAAATAAATATTTAAATAAAAAGGCATTAATTGGATCAAAATATCATTTATTTTACCAATATTTCAGTTGGCTTAACGCCAACCTTCATCGAGGTATTATAACATTTTTGATCCAATATATGCTTTTTTATTTAAATATTTAAATATACATATCTATATTCTAAATTCTGCTGACATATCTATCGTTTTGTCTGTGTACAAAAATCATGAATTATTTTCATATAGTCTCAGACCACGTAGAAATTGTGCATACGCACTCAGTCCAGATCTAAATCTTCAATGGTATAGCTGAAGTATTTATTTTCTCTTTTTATATAGTATTATGCATTGATATTTTTTGACATGAGTAGGAATGCATAAATATCTTTTATTTAGGCCCTCTGCCATACAAAGGATTCCCCTGCGGGATTCAACAGAGTGAGAAATAAAAAGAAGAAAGGTTGGTTATGAAAAGATATGATGGAATATTCATAATACACCTATGTTGTAGACATTATAGAGAAGGAAAGAGGTGTGCTGTTGGTCCGAAGACCTGGAAGTACCACTCAGTGTTACTTTTCTTCTTTTGATCTCCTGACATGGAGCCGGTCCTATGGAGAACAGACAATTGATACATTAGCCGGGTACAGGGTGGCCCTACCAGGAGTTAAACTCGCGACGTCCTGTGTTACCTGTTTACACCCTCCCGCTACTTTGAGGCTGTAGGATAGGATTATTTGACTCAGATAGATCACCCTCTCAAGTACTGACCGGGCCCGACATAGCTTAACTTTGGTGATCGGACGAGAACCGGTGTTTTCAATTTGGAATGACCGTAAACTCTCAAATACATCGAATGTAAACACAATGGGACATGCCGTGAATAATATCAGTCAATTTTGAAAATATCGTAAATATAGAGGCTGCCTGGCCGACATTCATAATTCTTCAAATTAAAGATACTTCGGCCAGTAACGTCGAAGTAAAAATAAGATTTACTGGCCGAAGTATCTTCAATTTGAAGAAGAATGTTTAAAATGTTATTAGAATTTTATATAAATTAATTATATTGGGCCCTGATTTTTGTCCAACCCATCAGGGAACAGGTTAAATCAACGTTTAGTTTATTTATGTTCCACTTGATGGCGCTCTGACATCTGAAAAGCTAATATGAGTGTGGTCAGGATATGCCTTTTTTGATTTTTAATACTAACACCTGACCTTTTATTACTTTATTTTTTTATTGTTTTTTACCTAAATATAAACCACAAGATTCAGATAAACAAAACACACACAACTATTTTATAAATGAAATTTAATAAGAAGTTGAGAGAAAGGACAAAACCCGAAAGTGTTCAACACAAATCATATTTTCAAGACCTAACAGTAAGTTATCTATATAAATTTTAACAGCACACAGTATTTAACTTTAGCAATTTCACCAAATTTCCACAAAATTTGCAAGAAATATTTTCACAAAGAAACAGAATATATACCTCAGTAAATATTCCTCAAAGAATACAATGAAATGACTTTAACCAAAATAATATACATAGATATGAATTCATAAATGGGGTTAAAGCTTTAAAAGATAAAAAGTACCGTATACTAAGTATGTGAAGGTAATGAGCAAAGAAAATGGTGTCTTCCATTCTTAGAACCCAATTGATGCACACACATCCCGGTGGTAGAAATCAAGGCCTTTGTGTTCCCCTTTCTTTTATCCAATTTGCCTTCGTTAGCCTTTGATGCCCTAACGACCCGGTTTCTATTCCTCCTTCCTTCCTTTCTCCCTAAGATTGATCTTTAAATTTGTTGCGTTCTGACAACGCAACCATAGGATTTACCTCACGTTTACCGCATAATTGGCTGCTTCTTTACTTAATAACACATATACTCCGCAAATATTTATATATAATTCTACTCTCCTTAACACTTATATGCATAGTTTTAAAAATAAGACTACAAACTTTCGCATTGAGTTTCATTTTTTGCCTGTAGAAGGGCGGCTCCAGCCCGAAAGCTCGCGCATATCATAATAAAAGAAACTCATTGCGAAAAGTTGTAGTTTTATTTTTAAAATTTGTAGCGCAATATTTTCGTTTACTTCATTCATAGTTTACTTAAATATCATTTATAGGATCCCACAAAATTACGAAAGTGTCTTTTTACACACAAAACAAACTTTTACTATCCTTATTATAATATTTCCAATAGCAGTAAGGACAGTAGAAGTTTGTTTTGTGTGTAAAAAAGACACTTTCGTATATTATATATAGATTTCGCATCTTATGGTATATGGTGCCTTACTGGCCTTGTTCTTATTGTTTGCGGAAGAGCATTGCTCGATGCAAATATTTAAATGTAATTCTACTGTCCTAAAAGCTTATGTCCATAGTTTGCTTGAATACTATTTCTAGGATCCCACAAAAGCACGAAATTTCGTTCATTATATATAGATAGCAGGTTATTGCTTTATATTAATTTATGCCTAACTTGTCCTTATTGTTTGCGGAAGAGCATTACTAGATGTAAATATTTATATGTAATTCTACTTTCCTAAAATCTTATATCCATAGTTTGCTTAAATATCATTTCTAGGATCCTCTCTCTCTCTCTCTCTACAAAAGTGTATTTTTACACAAAAAGAACAAACTTCTACTGTCCTCATTATAATATTTTCAATCGCAGTAAGGCCATAGAAGTTTGTTTTGTGTGTAAAAAGACACTTTCGTGGTTTAATTCTTCCGTTTATTATATAGAGAAGGCACGTCTTATGGTCTATGGTGCCTTACTGGCCTTGTCCTTATTGTTTGCGGAAGAGCATTGCTCGATGTAAATGTTTATACGTAATTCTACTGTCCTAAAAGTATATGTCCATTGTTTGGTTAAATACCGTTTCTAGGATTCCACGAGAGCACGAAAGTGTCTCTTTACACACAAAAAAAACTTCTACTGTATATCATAATATTTTCAATCGCAGTCAGGCCAGTAGAAATTTGATTTGTATGTAAAAATAAACATTCAGGTCTTAATGTCTTCATTCGTTATATATAAATGGCGCGTTATTGCTTTGTATTAATTTATGCTTAACTTGTCCCTATTGTTTGCGGTAGAGCATTTCTCGATGCAAATATTCAATTGTAATTCTACGGTCCTATAAGCTAATGTCCATAGTTTGTTCAAATACAATTTATAAGATTCCAACATTCAATGTAGCATATATAAGCAGAATGATCCAATACAGCATTATTGTTCTAAGAAGCGGGTCTGGTAGATTAAATAGGCAAAATCGCTGGGAAGGTTCACCACTGATAAGCCAAGCCCTCCTAATATCTTTTCATCGCAGTAAGGACAGTAGAAGTTTGATTTATTTGTGAAAAGAAACATTCGCGTCTTAATGTCTTCATTCGTTATGTACTCTATCATGTAATACTATCTTCTATAACACTTATATAAACCTCAAACAATAGTACGAAAGAGTAATTTCACGAGATCAGGTAGTATAGCTAAGGAAAAATGCATTTATTTATGTATTGAACAAACATGCCCCTCTGTGGATATACATATAATTATAAATTATTTTTATGAACTAGTTTCAATTATAACAGATGCATGATAATAAATCATATTGTCTCTCTGTGTTCTCTTCTTCCTCTTCTTTCTTATCTCCACTTAATCATATTAAGGTATCAAGCTTGTGAAGCTTGAGACTTTTGATGGTGTCTGCCAGGGAAGAGTAGAGCTCATCAATGGATGAGTCAATACAGTCAATAATGTGTTTTGGGGTTGTAGGCTGAGAATTGCAAATTCTGTCTACCAATTTATGTTGGTTGCTGCTAGTCTCTGGTGAATGACATCCTCAGGAACTGAGTCAATTTTCTATATCACATTTGAGGTCCTCAATGGCTTCATCCTGTTCCACACACATACATTAATTCTCATTTCTCAAAATACTATTTGGGTATAGTGGGATAAACATGATTTCTCTAAAATAACATAGAACCAAATATATATGCTATATCTTATTTTTAAAATCATCAGTAATTGCTCAAAATATACAGTTATCAATTTATTATCAATTTTCATATTGATTCAAGAGTTTACTTGTTAAATAATATTCAAGTTTTGTCTCCTATGGTCTGGCTTGACCATCAAATACGCGATTATTAAATGATGATTCCATTTAGAGAAAGAAGGTATCATCATCATTGCAAGAGAGAATCAAATTAAACCTATATTCTAACAGGTAATATTTTATAACACAAAATGTGTGCTTTGGTTGAAATGGATCGTCACAAATTACGAGCACCAATCTGTGACTGCAATCCACAAATACAGGTTCAAAATCATTATAAAATCCTTTATTCTTCATATCTGGCTTCTAAAGACTCATTCTAAAATGATATTATGATAAATATCTAAAATTATGTGTGAACTATAAATCCAGGCTAAACATTCCCGCCTACTTAAGTCTGGAAAGAATCATATTCAGACTTCTAAATCCGGAATATGCAATCAAACCTAAATATTCACTCGATATTCGAGAGAAAATTAAAAAAAATTAAATATTTGAAGTTTAATCTGGATATGGGTAAAATACATAAATATTTATAATAATTATTTTCTAACTTTTTAAAAAGGCTCTATCACATCAAATATTAAAAAACGACGAGAAGTTCATGGAATATTTTTATTGTTTCCTGTGTATATTATATTCCTAAATTCCGCAGGATATATAAGACATCCAGTCTAATGTAATAGTAGATCTGTCTGGAGATTTAATTATCGAACTGCTGGGAGGGTTATCTAATAATGATCCATGCCTTCCCTCTTTTGAATTTATAACCATTGCCGGGTAAGGTCTGTAGAGAGAAATATAGCTTTTAATTTTATATATTTTAAAAGAAAGTATATATGTTATAAATAAAAAATATATTATCTGCTTGATTTTGGAATAACTTGAGGATCATACTATATTAATGCAGTCGTGGTTAAATCTTGAAAGTATGATAATAAAAATAATTTTGATCAGTAATTTAATAGAACTAAAGGAATATATAAAAAAACATAATTTGATAAAAGTACTTGCCTGGCTTAAGGCGTAAGAATAAAAAAATGAAAAGCTTATTTACATAATGTACAAAAGGTTTGAGCCGGCCAACGGGGAACAAAAACAATGAGTATTTATAGGGAAAGCGTGACCTCTGGCGGTCGATTTAACAGAGTATTTGAATCGATGAAATATAATTTTAAATAAAATAATACCTTAATATAACATAATTTTAAATAAGATATTTTAATATAACATATATATTTTTTGAAATATTAATTCTATTTACAGCGATTAATGCTGTTAAGTTATTGAAGAAATTTGGCTATACCATTGTATATATGACTAGCTATGTATACAATGAACTATTATACCTGTCGAAGGGCTGTTTCGCCCGAAAGTTTGTATTGTCGTGATAAAAAAGAAGCTATTCCCTGATAGAATTTTCTTTTATTACAATAAGATGTCCTCTCTGTGGCGCAGACATGTCCAAGAATCTTCTTACTCAGAAAATGGACCTCACCGCCTCACCGTTTCAAGCGGACTCCAAGCACACTGACAGGTAAGGTAGTCGAACTAAATTACATATTGTCTTCAAAAATACATTAATGGATAACACCTGTGAAAGTTTCATACAAGTACTTGTATTTTGATGTCGCTGGTTGTCTCTTTTTAAAGAGTCATATGCAATTTTGTTCACAATTGGCTATCACGTATGCCTTCAATAAAGGTAACTGTGTATCAAATATATTTCAGATTTATTATATGAATCTAGATATACATG